AGTTTCCTGTAGACCCTTACACGGTCTCGGAAATCACGGTAGGTGGACTTCAGGGTGGAAAGGAATTCAGCTGATACGCCCCACATGGATATATTGTTCCACAAGCTTTGAAGACAAAGACCACTATAGTCGGTCTTCTCTGCTCCGAAACTTAACGAAGAGTAAATGTGGTCAATACAACCACGACCTGGCTTTCAGTGATTCGGCTCTCATGATCAATGTGTCGTCGAAGGATGATACTTGTGAGAAGATTGGTGACAATGAATGAAGGGCTAATGCCTCGATGATTTTCGCACAATTACGCTGGCCATTTTTGAAGATAGGTACGACAGTCGCCTGTCTGAGGGTATCCCTTAAGTGTCCCAACTAAGTAGAGCAGCAACCCCAATCAACAGTCACTCATCTTTCTGGAAGGATTCAAAATGGCGGTCGGTTCCTTGAGTCTTGTTTCAACACGGCAAGCTCATGTCTGTGCTATCATAAAAGCAACAGAAAAAGGTAAATATTCGACTGACGCAATACTAGCACGTAAGGCAGTTTACCTGTCGATAAGTCCGTGTTTTACATAACTAATGGGTAGAGTCGACGCATTCCAACTAACCAATGGAAAGTGAGTAAACTGCATTAGCTTCAGTTGTACGCAACTATCATTGCTCCATTCAAAAGGGCTGCATCAAGCGGATCGGTGTCGATAGGTAAACCCTGCTCTGACCGACCCGCGAAGCCAAATTCGCGGGAAAGGTGATTCGGGCTGGTCTTGACATGTGCTTGAGGATTAGGCCTTTTTGCAGTCTATAGGTCCTTGGGTCAAGTTTGCGTGATTCTCAGTAGTGCGGATAGCGCTGAAATACCTTTTGTCGTAGCACATTTTCGGACTCGAACTTACGTTCCAGGCTATACAGTAGTCGACAATCCGACCTAGGAATTTTGGCAAAATTCCGCGCGATTTGCTACTTCGACACCTCTCACAGTTGACAGGTTATGTGCAGTATTTGGTTTGGTGCGGAGAAACCTTCCTGACGTTAGCCCGCTTTGGTTTTTTACAATAGCTCTGTAAGTAAACAGCAGTTCCCACAACATCTCCACAACCTGACTCCTTATTGTATGCACTGTATGGCTTCCTCGACGGATCGGTTTCGCCCCTCGACCTACCATTGACCGCAGAATTACAAGGTGTAATTCTGAAATGTTATGGCACTAGAGGATAGTTGCGAAGTCGTGCCTACAAAAATAAGGCTCATTGTTGGTGCATACTTCTTCCGGTAGTAGGAAACGACCGAAATAGTCACCTGGTCCCCGCTTACTGTAAAATCATGTGGCAACAAGTAGAGTTTATTCGTAGGAGCGGTAGCGAAAGTGTCCATAATATCAATGGCGATCTAAGTCTGCGGGTTCAACGAGTAACTTATCGACTGTCTCGGGGCTCCGACGGGCAGCGAACTTTTGTCCGTTAACTGGCAACCGTCGCAGTTCATCACAACTGTCTCAGCGCTGGATGAATTCGTGGCCACCAAAACAGTCTCACTCAGTTTTTGGTCCGAACGATACTTGGGTCTTCCCCTCATGTGCGCGAGCGATTATTTTGTTTCCTGAGGTGGAGCTACAAACACCGAACTGCGCATCAAACAATCATTTATCACTGGTTGTTCATCTTCTAGTACGGAAGTTATTCACCAGGGACTTCATTGTTCTTTGGTCACTCCTGTTACACATACTCAGAATTTAGTTCCATTTCGAGTGGAACAGCACCTACAATCGTAAAGGACGGTACACTGCGAATACCAGCAGAAGGAAACTTGGGTTTAGCAACGAATGCTAATAGATTTGATGAAGTGCTGGCATCAGTTTGTCAGTCGGTCACCTGACGAATCTGCTCCGAAATTTTGAAAGAATCGAGTCGCTGAACGAGACAGTTTCCGAGGTAGGTCGTCAACTGGTACATAATACGTATGATGGGACCAAATTAGCTCATTCATCTATAGACGTTATTCCATTGACGCAGGCTTCTTACCCACTGGTCGTCGTCTTCGTACCACCACAACGTGCTAGTATGCAATGCATCTCTTTACAAAGAAAAGAGTAGGAAGGACATCAGCAATTCGCTGCCACACAACCACCATTCGCACGTGGGCTAAGGATATTGCCATGGTCGCATGGTACCCTACGCAGGTTCTGACCGGTGACCTTCAGGTTGCAGAACAGACGCCTTGTTCTTTCGGCCACCGACCAACTGCACATCTCTGAAGTCCTTTAAAATACTTTAGGTAGCATTTCCCAGGTTCCTTCCGGGCCACATGTTCTCGGACGGTTAAAGCGTCTCTCATTAGAGAGCCAACCTACTTCCCTATTTAGCACGCGAATCAACGGTTCAACTCGATTGGCGCAAAGGACGGCCGTCATGAAGTACGTCAGAGGGGAGAGCGCCGTGCCTGTCCTCTAGTTTGCGACCCTTCCCGGTTCTCATTCGTGGGTAATCTTGACCATTTAGTCTGGTGTTCAGTGTGCTCAGCCCGGCATACTATTCGGCTTTGATGGTTGTGAGCTGGCTCTTCATTGCTTTCATCTAAAGTCTCGTCTATTGTCGGCTTTTTTGCTACCCATGGATCGGATCGGCCAGTAGAATGTGGAGACTTCCTGTTTCATCTCGATAACAAGGTTCACCAAACCTCACAGTTCTTCCTGAGCAGTTGTGTTAGTTCAGCATTCTTTATCTCAGTGATTTGTGATTGGCGCCTTAGGGGATCGCTCGATGAGTTTCAGAATGCTGTAGAGGCCGTGCAGAAAACCAGCGGCTTACAGCATTACTGGTGATCTCTTTGACCATTGTAGAATCTTCCTGCGGGCCGGTGCGCCTCTAATTCTCCGTCAGGCACCGCGGTGTTCGTGTGGCGTTTTTTACAAAGTTCTATGAATTAGCTGTACTATCCTTAAAGTCCGTTCTACAACCCTTGGGAATACTCTACAACGAATAGGCAGTGCCTACCGACTACCAATTTACAATCGAATTGTCGACCGTTAACAAAAATCCTTTCAACTACCGCTGCCCATGCACATTTAGCAGATGCGGTACGTACACCGCTGGATCAGCGGCTTTTAGACTCTCTTCCCCATATATGCGCGTTGCGAAACTGGCAGCAGAAGGTGCAATTAGTTAGACCGGCCGTGGCTTCGCAGTTGAGTCTTGTAAACGTATTCTACTGAGATAACAAGCTCCAATATTGATGGTACTTGGAATGCGAGCAAAGGTTCCTTCATCAGCGCCCGGACACTAAACGAAGTTCACTTAACCGGATTACTGGACGCTAAGAACTGCTCGCAGATGCATTGGAGTGGCGCATACTCAGGCTTTAACTACCGAAAATTTTGCCTAGGACAGCACAAAATTTGGTGCCTAGGAACAGAGAGGGTCGTGTCGTGACGATTAGCACGGACGCGAATTAAAATGAGCAGTTTATGGTTTACCGGTGCAAGCCTCCTGCACCTCGGCTTAGGAGAGCGTTTCTTGAGGTTTTGGTCCGCAGATTATGCGAAGACTGCGTTTCCAGGTTGCGTAGGCTGCGAGTGGTCTTTGATGACATCGAGTATTTTAGACAGAGGAATCTCACGAGACGGTATTGCCACTGACCGCCGTTAATCACTCTTCCGGATAACGCGACTTCCGGGTTGTATTTAGCTGCTCAGGCTATCCAAGGCGCCATAGCGTGATGGCACTTGGCTGGAAAATGTTTCTTGTGCCATCGCCGCAGGCGGGCTGTAGTCGTGCTCATTGTTTCCTGGAGCTTGTTCGATCACTTCGTTCCAGTCGATTTACCTAATCAGTTTGGTGTCCCCATCTTGAGTTGTTTGAAGTTGATCATCTTTCTTACCACAAATAGCGTCTCACGATTGTTCCATGCCTATTCGATTTCAGCCCACACTTCATCAAGATGCAAGCGGTGATGTTCTTTCTCGAGTAAAATTGTTTGGTTCAGATCGCTTGGACAACGACATTTTTTTTACTGATCGCGGAGTGAATTAGTGGACTCCACACTGACCGAACTCCCACTTCCTTGCAGAAATGGAGTAGAGTAATCGCATTGAGGGCTCAAAAGACTGTTATTGGACCTTGAAAAAACATGCCTTTTGCATCACACAACTGCATGGGTTTGTGGCAATAGGATAGCTTGTTGCTAGTTCTTAGATCTTTGACGGATAGGAACTGGCATTAGCATTGGTGGGCTTGTAACTACTGTAGTTTGGTCACTTATTGCGAAGGTTAGAAATGCATTCTTGAATCCACGGTTTTTATGGCATTAATCTGTAAGTTCGTGTTTCTAGGATTACATTGAGGGCTTTTGTAGTTCAGTGAGAACTTTCCACCTAGTTTTCAAATTCTTAGTCACCGTTGTCTTCGTAGCATTGCTGACACGCGAGTAACAAGCGACGATGATTATAGGGTCAAGAGATTACGTTGCTTACATCGCTTTGCGTTCAGGCACGTGCTACTTAAGTCTGCCCACCTTTTAACGAGATAACTCGTGCGTTATTTACCTAGTTTAGAGTGGCGTATTGTTCGAAGGGCACTTGTCCTGGCAACGGACAAAATTGCTGGTCCGTCTCACCTAGACGTCGTCTAGTCACCGCCTTACACATGGATTTGCTATTACTCAACATTGTGTGACGATTCTCCTTCTACGCGGACCAGCCATTTCAGTCCAGTTCCCATCCGCGTATCGGGGATTGGAATACAAATTGACGATTGTTATGACAACCGTCAGACTCCGCAGTCCAGGCACAATTGAAACTATTGCATCATCGTTCAACCTGTTCCCATAAAAGCCTTGCGAGCTAAGGATAAACAACAACAGACTGACTACCGTTTGATGTCATTCATGGTCCTCCTTTATACTCGTCCTTTTTAGTCCATTTCGTCCCATGATGGCGTGCACAGTAGTTCACCGTTCCAAGCGTCTACTTTGCTCGTCTTGGTCCTATTTCTTATACTATCCTGTACATTTCAGACTATAACGCCTCCGGATCTCCCCGAACCGTCCCCACCCTCCAGTAAGGACACCGGCTTCTATGTTAACGTCCTGTTATTATCCATGCCTTCAACAACTTCGTTGCACGACAAAACAATAATACGAGCCGAGAGCTTGGATCGCGAGAAACCCCCTATCCGGAAGTACATTAAGATATTAGCGGTCGCTAAACCAAAACAGCGATTCAAGGCAATCGGTGGCCCATGGATTCCTGAGCTGGATGGTGCAGAACCTGTCACCGATCCTCGAACTCTGATAAATTCTGCAATCAGAATTTGCAAAGATCAAGTTGGGCTCGACCTCTCCTTCTGTACGCGGTGGTAAGTTGATGGTGTCATCGCTGTGTAAAGTGATTTTACATTGACCTAAGAGTGTTAACTGACCCGTAGTTAAGACCCAGCGTGTTACCTTGCCGTTCAGGTTTAGGTCCCCCCCCCCAGTGGACTTATACGAGTGATCCTTTCCTAAGAATTTCACTCACATTTTTTCTCTCCCTCCTTCCCAATACTCTCTTCACTCGAAAGAGCGTTTCGAGTTTGAAAAAGTATCGACGTTATCGGATCGTCCTTGCCCTGCTGTGGGACTAGCGAAAATTTTGGAACCTGGCTCGTTCTGCGCCCTGATGAAAACGGTCGAGCCTAGCATCCTAGCGAATGTTCGCGTCCAATGAACAGGGAATCCATCTTCGGTTTATGTTGCAGCAGCATTATCTCATTCGATTATCATGGTATATTCGACCACATAGGTTGAATTGACTCATATTCCGGACTTCTCTTTTTCTGCGCTACTGCTTGAACCTGCACTTACCCCCCGCTGGCTTTCCTATTTGGACCTCCGGTGCTCCCCACTTCACCCGAATATGAATCAGAAAATCTGCTGTGATTCAATGGTTATTTAATCGTCACATAGAATTCTCTGGTGTCTCGCTTTCAAGGGTTATATCTGATGGCTGCCAACGTTGCCTTCGTCTCAGAAAATTTATTTACCTGTTCAGATCACCCAATTTTCTAGCGTAGCCTGGGGAGGCGTTCATCATTTGCGATCATCAACAGTTTTTCACCTGAATTCGCCCGTGTTCTCGGCTTCATTGGATTTCAAACGGTGAACACAGGCGCCCTCGGTACTTCTTCGTTGGAGCTCGGTCCTCTTGATCGGCACTGTTATTGCTGTTCACCGCATCGCGCGTGTTGCGTTATGCTGTTTGGGGGGTGGTCTGATAAATTATGCCCCATTGCGCAATGTCTTTTGCTGAACTAATTCCTGTCCCCCTCCCACTTATGACGTAACTGCTTTAAAGCGGTTGCTTTTTATGCTTGGATTATTGCCCATTATTTATCCGCTTCTCTTAGGAATCGGTTTCTGGAATTCCGGTATAGTCGAACGGAGGGTTCAACGGCCCGCCCTACCTCGGTGCTTTTTCCTGGATCACAACTTTGGGGGCGCTCATTCCCGGACGCACCGTCAACCAAATCCAATGGTCCAGTGAAACCCTACCATCGCATTGTCGTTTACTTCATCCCTGACATCTGGACAGTCATGCCAACCGCGGAGAATTGGAACAATGTGAAGAATGCTTTTGAATGTGCGTTTTCTGGATCAAATTCTCGCTTCTTCCCTCTTTCACCTGCTGAAATCGATGGTTACCTGAAGAAAGGTGTCGCCTCTGCTGAAGAAACTCCCTCAGGAGCCACCGCAAAAAGCGAAACACCTTGTCAAATATCGTCGACTGCCACAACGGACACGGAAGTTGTTGCACAGATGGAACAGCCAACTGGATCCTCGGAACCTGAGAAATGTGATCAGTCGGTAACTGAATCAGTTCAAAATGCGTCCTCGACTTCTCTGCTGATGGACTCGTCCCAACTGAACGAAGAAGTTATGCAATCACCTTCGGCATCCAGTTCTGCGAAAGACAAGGAATCAGCTGACCCTGAGGTTGATCTTCAGTGTTTTTTGCTTTTGAAAATAGATGAACATCTGTTGATTGTTGCTTTATCGCCCATTAACGCTGTTTGCCTCTTAATATTGTTTGTTGTCCTTCATGTGTATTGTTACCCACTATCGCGAAATAGTTTGGTTTCTTTTTTGCTTTTTTCGACCGTTATACCCTTGGTGCTGTTTTTTTTCATTACCCAGATCAACGATGTAACCAAGATAATCAAGAAATCTCATGACGAACTCAACCTTTCCTCGATGAAGGTATGACATTCCATTTAACTTTCATCGTTACTGAGTAGGTTTCAGAGCTTCGTGAGCAGCTGAAAGCTCGTAACTTACCTGCTGATGGTATCAAGGCACAGTTGCTCAGTCGTCTTAAAACTGCTATTGAAAAAGAAGCCGAACAAGCACGGAAACTTGAAGAAGAACGTGAGTTCTTTTCGATTTTATCCGACCCATTTTCTTTCGGCCAAATTGTTCGTGCATCTCACTACTCATAAGCTTTTCGTCATCCTTACCTTCATGACTGAAGAACTGGCTCGTGACCGGCAGAATCCCAATCGAGGGTTCGAGGCTGCGTAGAGGATCGGATGACTCGCGCGACTGGTGGTGGTTGCGTAGCAGTGAAGCGTCGGTACTGCGTGCCGGCATACTGCAGATGTCTTGTCGTAAGAGCTACAGTGGAGTTACCTAGACAACCACCTCAGTCTGTTTCCTTACTATTCAGCTGGATTACAAACAAATGCTGCCTATTCGCAGTCGCTGCCTATGTGTTGGACTTTCATGTGAATCTCCCAGCACATTGCGAGTCGTCTCAAGATTGTTTGTTCAGCTCAGTTCAATTGAACAGCCGTGTTCCTGGCACGGAGGTGCAGTCGATCCAGTTGCCACTGTTCACACCGCCAAATCGCTACTAACAACGACAAGAGAACGTGGTTAACTGGGAACGAAAAGCAAACGAAATAGCATCAGGCAATGAGTACGTTAAACTTATCAGGATGGGATGAAGATCAACAGTTGGATGCATATTATCTGAAATCGCCAGTCTCCTCTTCTCCATCATCAAACCGATGTTACAGTACGGCTCGTCAGTCTATTGCCCAACCACTCGAGGCGGGGCGCAAAAGCTTGAACGGGTCTAGCACTTCGCTACCAAACTCATCCCCAGCTTGCGGGGCTTACTGTACGAGAACAGGTGCGCTAGGCTGAGACTATACCCCCTGGCTTATCGTCGGTTACGAGTCGAACTTATCATGAGATCCCGGATTCTACATTTAGGTGACTTCCTCATGCTTAGGCTACTGCTGCGCTTGCGAGCGCTTTGCAGCACACGCGGACGCTAGTGCATGCCTGTACTTCTGGATCTGAAGTGTGTTCTCCAATGTATGTCTGGAACGGTTTGCCGGAACATCTAGTGAAAGCAAACTCATTACAACGGTTCAAACGATTGTTAGATCTGCGTTTCTCAAATGTTAGATTCCGAGGACGGTTTATCACTGACATCACATTTGTGAGTGCCAATATGCTGAGAGTTACACATCTCTTAGGGTATCACATGAGAACGTGACAAGTCATAGTTTGCTTTTTTAGCGTTTCCAATGGAGTAGTACAAAATCGAATTTCTACTTTCTCCCGCAATAAAGTATTTAGTTTTCAACATCGATTGATGACCGCTGCTTATCCGCGATGCACCTACAAGAGTCGAGATCCGTGCCCACTCTGAGATCACCTTCATGTGACACTTGACATTTTCTCACTGTCTCTATCCGCAGATAACGCAGCTTCAAATACCGGTTAATCCATTGTGAGCATTGCTCTGAGCACCCCCCCCGCCCACTGGACTGAAGCTACTGTAATCGACCACATCTCAATCGGTAGCTGGGATGGTGATCATATTGATTGATTTGTTCAAAACAGCTTACTCGCTTAGGGATAATGGGTGCTTTCTCCCTTTAGTGCCGACTTCATGAAGGATGACTTTTATCGTCAACTGAGCGAGCTCCGTCACAGAAATGCAGCCACTATAATGCTAGCTGAAGGTTCAAGTTAGGTGATGTATTGTATCTAGGCGACTAGTACAGTATCATTGGCTCGCGTAATGATAGCGGTGAGCACTTATTACTACTATGTCTGAAGATTGTCTGCTTTTAGCAAGCACTTGCTTCCGACATCACCCACATTCCATGGACCGCCCATATACGCAAATTTTTCACCCCGGGGTCAGTTAGCCTGCTAGAGAGGCTGTGTCCAAATCTATTGCTCGATTTGAAGCACGAACGTGGACTCCGATCATACACTGGCCTATGCGCCTATCTGCGGGTGTGTTTTTCGATGAGTCCCTTGCCGACGTGGATGATTGGACATCTGCCAACTAGTGAAGCCAGATTTCCAGGATGCACGTCGAATTACGTTTGCATTCGGGTTAAGTTAGTGCTCTTTGCAAACAGTTGATCACACCTTCATGTTCACTGGACTTTAGTAGCAGTAAGTGTGTCTTCGTGTGGCAAATCCATTTGCCACGCTGAACACTTGGTCTCTGCGTGGTCTTTGCAACTTCGAAATGTTCACCGGCGTACTCCGGCTGAGAACAAACACTAGACACGTAAAGAGCTTAAGGCGAAGTCGCGTGCGAGACCTGGTGGCTTCATCGGCTGTAACAGTCGCTGCCTTTTGTACCTATCGAGTCATTCTGTCTGATGGGAAACGGGCAGCCGGAGACCTGTTACTGGTAGGAGTAGACAACCAATTCACAACATATCAAAGCACTCGGAACGTTAGGCTGAGCACTTCAAGGAGCAGTTTGATTGACCAGAGTTACCAGCTTCCTTGCCCTTAGTAAGATAGGGAACGAAATGTGAGCCACTCCATCATTTTCAAAGAGGTTCACGTTCGGAATTCGGCAGTCATAGAGAAATCAGTCATCTTCAATGCCTCTAAAGTTACTTGTCTCCGCTCTTTTTCACAAATTGGTAGACATGAGAACAAGAGCTTTGCCCCATTTATTAGGGCGCCGCTTTTAGTGGCATTCCATCTTAGTTGTTTTTCTCGTCATCAGAGATTAAGTGAACCGAGGTGCCTTTTGGGACAGTTCTCAAAAAAGGTGTGCATGGGAAATACGTAAACACCGCCAGATCGCTTCAAGCGCAAGCAAGGGTTTATGGCAAACTGCGCTGAGCCAGATGGTCTATCATAAATCCTCATTAGCGAAGTCAAGGAAACTGTGTACCACTGGACGCGACTTAGCGGGTGTGATGCCGTTCCCTTGCTCTTATCTGTGGTAACCCACAAATGTGTCAAGCAGCACTGACTGCCAATTGTTTTCGGGCTATGCTTTGCACCATCGAAATGTAAGTCCTACAAGATTTACAGGTACCATTCCCTGCAATGACAATTGTTGGAGATCAACTAGAAATCGTTCACATGTTATCTTCAAAAGCAGTGCATCCGACATTTGAATTAGTGCTTCGCTGCCATATACCTGGGCTGCATGGAAAGTTTTAACTCTCAAAATGCCAAGCGATCTACAGTCTTCGATGCTTTTATTTTTCCAACATATTCGGCCTCAAGCGCAAAACACTTGCTCCAGCGGTGCTGAAGCACCTTTATCCCAGTGGAAGATAACTCTTCCGTGTTCGACTCTAACAACGCTTTTGTGACTTTAAAGACGTCACTGTCGTTGAGAAAACGTCTGCCAGCTGAGGCTTTTTTTCAGGCCTGAAAATAAGTAGAAGTCAGAAGCAGCCCGATCTGGTGAATAAAGTGGGTGAGGAAGAAGCTGCAAGCCACAATCGTAGATTGTTTTCTGAGCATTGTCATTGTAAAAACTGATTCCTCTCGTCAACGTTCCTGGCGAGTTTTCGGATTTGTTCTCTGAGACGTTCCGGTGATTGTATGGCCACTCAAGAAAATCACTCATCACCTCGGAAACCCCAAAAAGAAATGCTATCATTTTGCCATCCGACAATGTGAACATGGCCTTTTTGGATCAGGAAATAATGCACGCTCCCACTGCTTTGATTGTTCTCTTTTTTCTGGTTGGAAGTGGTGAAACGAACAGTCATATATGGTAAAGTCGCGCAAGAAAATCTTCGGCATCTGCCTTAAACAGTGCCAACTTTTTCTTTGGCATCACACATCGGATGCGCTTTTGCTCAGGTGTCAGAAGACGTAGCACCCACCGAGCAGAAACTTGTGTGTAGCCTAGCTCCTACCTCAGAATATTATCTGCTCGCTCCTGGGAAATGCCCAACTGCTGCCTGACGAGTTGTTTATCGGCGATCTTTCATGATCATATCCATTAGTAGACCAAGATTTTCTTTGATGGCCTGACCTGGGTTCATCTTCAGTACTTTGCCTGCCGCGCTTAAACTCTTGCATTCAATGTTTAACTGCCATGTGAAGGGACATTGTCGTGCATTATATTGCGCCTCTGTTGTTAGCTTTAAGATAGTGACATTCCTTAGAGGTGGAAATATTGGATCACGTTACTCCCGTTTTTCAATTTTCACCAAATTGCAGGGCTCGTTTAATTAAAGAACCTGTTGAAATTAAAGAAATAGGTTGAAATATGGGTTTCCATAAAATGAATAAGAAAAAGCGGCTATGAAAAACCTTATTTGGCTTATCTTGCTGAGTTTATAGATATACATATATAAATATATTTGTGTACACGTACGCCGGCTGAAGAAAATATTTTGAGCCTGTCACAGAAATCAGACAGCAAGACAAGCCAATTAAAGTTTTTCATAGCCGCTTTTTCTTATTCATTTTATGGAAACCCATATTTCAACCCTGTGACGCGGCGTCTAATCTCTACTTTGCCAACCTAGTGTTGCTACCACACAAACTATTTTCCGCAGACAAACCTTTTCGAAAGCTGAAATTCGACGCAAATCATTTACCCGTCTCGGCTAGGACTCGCGTCTGTACAACAGGAAAGCGCGAACACATTGCACACTCTGCCTTCCACTCCTAATGAAACGTCACGACGACCCCACATATGCCTCAGATCGGCGAAAGCCCACCGGGCTTTGGCAATGCGGATAGTAGTCTCTTTTCTAGTAGTGCCGTCGGAAGAAACGCAGCTCCTAATGTATATGAAACTATCTGCTTGTTCAAGGTGAACGCCTTCAAGAATCAGCACGGGGGCAGCTGGATGCCAACCCTTAAGTAGGACTTTTTATTTCGATGTAGTGAATGTCATGCCATACTTGGTATCTTCAATCACCAGGTGGTTTAGAACTACCTACGTAAGCTGTAGTTCGTCACCAAGCGTCATTATTACTTGTTAGCTGCAGGTGCAAAACACCTCAGCCATTGTGCCGCAATACAAAAGATAAGAAAAGGAAAACAATGGCACGCCGGCTGAGTCCCCAGTAACGGATGGACATCGTGCCGGAGGGCTAACAGCTGGCTATCTTGTCGTATAA